GAACAGAATAGCCTGTGATATTAGCTATGCCAATAGACAAAGACCCGCCAGCAAGTGCTTCTTTACCTAATCTACCCATGAACAGCATTGATATCATTGATTTCCCATATATTAGCAATCCAGCAGCGATGATGGGTAAGGCTATGGAATACAGCAGTTTGATCTCCTCCACAACCTAGAATCAGATATTCCAATGTCAAAACTCAATGGCCATCTAGATTTCTAAACATTCTTTTTAAAAAGAAAAGGGATTTAAACAACTAACCTCTGAAATGGTTGGTCGATGCTTCTGTTCTTGTTCATCACCTGCATGAGTTGCTTTCAATCTCGGAATACTTGGATCCATCAGCAGAGGCGTTGAAGTTGTTAGAGCCATCAGGGTTAGAATCCGAGCGAGAATTGGTGAAAAGGGTGTGACAGAATTGGCGACTCCACTGTCAAGTTCTCCTACGAGTTTATAAATGCAGATATTGTATCTTCTTGCTTTATGAATTACGACGCCTACTTGCTTTTTCGTATTAATTGCTTTGTGACTCAAAGGGACTTCAAGAAATAGTAACTACAGAGGACACATTGAATGTACAAGCGGAACAGAGCAAATGGAAGTTGTTGTGTGTGATAGAACTATAGAGTATACAGAAGAGAATCCAAGTTCATTCGCCTTTGCAATGAACACTCCTTTCACCTTCTATTTAACGAGCAAATGTACGCATAGCGTTGATATGTACCCGTGGGTGAGTGGTGAGTTCGGTGGTTTAAAATGGAGTGAGTGAGACAGAGGAAAGATAAGGTGGAAGGTGTACATGGGGAGGACCTTTGTCATTTCTGGACTTGAAGCCAAATCTTTTGTTGGATTCCATGCAAATGCCAAATTTCAGTAAGCTGTCATCACATCCCTTCGTCATTTAGATTCTCTGCCTTCTGTTGCTTCACATTTTTATTTTTCAGTGTAATTTTTTATAAAAAAAAATCACAATATCATTTGCTTAATATCGGTAGGAAACAGGAACCATTATGTAAATAATTTCGGGGGATTATAGATCTCTTATACTACCATCGATCGACAGAGCGGAACGACCAGGAAAAAAAAAGTTAAGTTATAAAGCCGTATGATAGGTGGTAACTATCTTGTACGATTCGGGGTAATAGGTGTACTCCGATAAGTGGGGGTGAGAGGCAACAAGTACTTGATAGAATAGTCAAGATATGCAACTAGAACACCATCTTTACCCAAAAAAATAAAAATTTAAAATTTAAAAATAACACTACCAGCAGGGGCAGAGGAAAGCTTCTTCACTTTCGGCACGGGCGCGGACTCCGCGATCTCTGGGTCGCCGGCTAATCCCTTATTGTTTTCGAGCATTAAGCTCGNGAAGCCTACTCATCTATCAGCTCCTCTCGTAGATCGGTGCGGTTTTACGAAGCGTCTAAGCACAGTTCACTCGCGTTGATCAATCAAGAGGGTTGCCGCCACTCCTTAATAAGGTTATCTGTTGTATCACTTCTTGCATTCTGTCCCACGCTTCATACCTCCTCTTTCTTCTTAAGGTAAGATAAAGGGCCAGGCATGGTGGGGTAGGAGCATCCAGTCGGCAATCTTTTTGGCTTGACCAAGAAGTCTTATGTCCTCCGAGTCGCACGGCGTTTTAACCGAAAGAACTTCTTGCGCAATTCGGCGGATGCACTCCTAAGGAAGCGGTGTCACGCGACACCGCTTCGCCGAATTTTTTTACTAAATATATGTATTAATATTGTAAGAAAATGAATAAGTACGAAAAAATGGCACCATTTGACATAAATTGTCTGTTAGTGTGTTGGCTATCCGCTTGATTTTGCTCAAGGGGTAAGAGGTTCAAACCTCAACAAACTCATTTTTTTTTTTGCAAATATTTGAGAGAGCCTTTGTAGTTAAAAATTGTGATGAATCAGAATTGAACTCATGACCTTTTCTAACTTAACACTCAACAAAATCAATAGACTAAAGTTATTTCTTATCCAGAAGTATGGTAATTAAAGTTATAATTCTTGTTCTTCTATAAATTTCGACACCCCTTAATCCTGCGTACACTCCTCACTATCAGATTATTTATTTCAAAGTCAACTGCTATATATGGCAACAATGAATTAGCAACTTAGAAAGAAAAAAAAAAAGTAACAATGTCACATGCAACAACTAGTTAGAATACATCATTTACTTTGGGAAACTAAGAAGAATAACTACCTCTTACAAGTGATAACTTGTATACACTAAAGTGTGTATAAGTTAAATTGTTTTCTTTCCTTTTCTCTTCGAAAATAAAAGTGAAAAGGTAAGTTATAACACTTACTAAATAAATGTGAATAATAATAAATGTCATTCCAGCTTTACCATAAAACTCGAACCCAATTCCAATTATTAGGCCCTCCCATTTAACTCCAGAGAATCTGGGGAATTTGCATCGTCTGTGGGTGAGGATTGAGGAAGAAAGTGTCATCGACGTAGCATGGTAATCACCACGTATATGAAAACTCTCACAAAGCATTGCACGTGTAAGCACACATCACTTCTCCTTTGTCTAGGAGTTGATAAGTAAAGCCATGGAAGATGAAGATGAAGATCCAAAAGGCAAAAGGAGGAGGTCAAAATATATGTTCCACGTGCAATTTTGGACTGGAGTTTAACAGATTTTCGTACAAATGTAAATTTTAGTTAATGAAATTTTGTCTGCCTGCCAGATTTTCGAAACCCGTATTCCTTGCTATACAACCAGTAAGAACAATAGGAATCAGAGGCAACGTGATCAGCTAGCTTTTAAGCATTGGCGAATGAACATTTTGTTTCAAAAACTAATACTGAAATATGCTTTAACATGACCATTTCAACTAACCCTTTCTGTGTTTCCCGCAGAAACTTGAGTAGATTTATCTGGTTCTAGTACAATAAGTCCATAGTATCAAACTAATTGGCATTCTCTTATTACCAAGTGTAATCAATCTATCAAGCATGCATCTAAATTGCAAAAATGGATAAAGTAGATATATATATATATAGTTCTCGTGTTTGTAGTTTAAAATAACCCATTATTGACGGAAGCCAAGATGATGAGAGTACTCTCTAAGTCATCAGCAGTATACATAGGTAGGCCACCTTAATCCAGTAAAATTGTTGTATGAAGAGCAGACATCCATGGCAGAGGTGCCGATTATATTTCCCCTTTTTCTCATAAAATTTAGGGACCATATGGTTATACATCCTCATTGTGTTCCCTTTCTTCCCTTCCATAAGACAGGATCTATCTCTATCAATATCTTCCACAGTTGATCAAGAAAGAGACAGACAACAAACACTCAAGACTAATTGCCCCGAACAAGTCATGCACTGGCAATAAGATTTCACGTGACCCTTCTGTTTCCATGGAAAATTTCATCAACCAATTGCTCCGTTTCATTGCTTTGCATGTCCCCTTCATATGTGGGGACCTAACACTCCTGATTATTGCATGAAACTGAAGATTCTTATCTTACTTTTAAGTTTGTGCTAAGAAAAGAAAGGTTATAAGTGATGGACCAACTGCATGGATTTACCGAATCAACTCCCCATCTTCGTTATTGATTGACAATATACTATCAACACAACTATTAAGACATGCCAGAGGCATAGACCAAACACTTACTAGCAACTTCTCCATTATGTGATAATATATATATATACTGAAGTCTGAACGGTAAATCTAAACCTCCTGAGGGCCAGAGAAAAGAGGTTGACAAGTTCGCAATGTACCTTCTTTTCTCTCTAAAAGAATGGCCACCATGAATTATATATTCCCTAGAGTTTTTTGCACAAGACATTTACAATGGAATTTTATGGACGACTTGTATATTGAGCGTCAATGGAAGTAATAAGCAAATGTATTAGTTCTGCCGTTACAATGGAAATTCCCAAGGCCAAGAATATCATTCAACTTGGCCTACATATCACATAAAATCATTAGGAGAAAATAAAAGAGAAAGTGACAACAGACGTAATATAATTTCTACGATACTTAGGCAAAACTGAGAGATTTTTATTACAAACAATTGTTTAGTGACTTTATCTGATGCTTAGGTAAGTTAAATGACTTTTTCTCTTTTACTTTATAAGAAAATAGCTTAGTTACAATAAAGTAAAAGTTAAGTGATCATGTATGAAATTAACCCTTGAACTGTTTTTTTACAATAAAAAAAATAGGAATATTATTCAAGAACTATTGGGAAGCAAACTATCGGCTATACAAGTTACTTTTTGGAAGGGTGGTAATGGGACATTGTGAAGTACTGGGATTGGAGGGAAATGATTCTAACTCGTTTAGACCACTGATTAACGAATGGACCTTTCCTTCTTTCTTATAAATAGTAAACAGAGTAAATTGTAGAGTAAAAGCACAACTGGAACTCATCATTGGGAAGAAGACTACATAGTTAGACAAGATCCAAATTCCTTCAGTGAAAGCCATTTAGGGTATGTCTCGTTTTCCCTCAAGACTAACCGAGGTATAATTCTTGGAACAATCAAATGAAGACACCTTGCAAGCTTTCGTTTTTCTCTATCCCATATTTGGTGTAGGGGATTAAGATTGAGTTAAGGATTGAAAGTTCAACTGTTTTCTAAAAACAGCAAGAATGTAGCAATCACTTATTTTGCAATTTTTATCAAGAATATCATAGCTAATTGGGCATAAAATTTTTACTCAAGTACAATTGAGGGGATCTAACTGTATGTGAAATTAGACATAGACTAGGGAAAAGAAAACGACCTTGGAGAAAATACATATTACCTTCCCACAAAAATAGTCTTGTTCTCCAGTAGCATTTTTTTGCTTCTTTCTTCTTAGTAATTTCATCCAACTTTACATATGTAAATCTATTTATACATCTCCATAGTCACTACAATCTCATCGAATGGAGAGAAAAGATATATAATGCAAATAGAGATAAAGGCCTTTGAGAGGCCGAGCAGAAAGCACAGCTAAATATAGTTAGTATAGTTTAAAGTGTTGGTTAAAATCCACAAATTTACAACAAGAAGCTTCAAATGGTACACATCTAACCTCTTGGAGTCAAGATTTTAATGGATGTCATTATCTTCAAAGCAGACATAAATATAACCTATTTAACAGTGTGGGGACTAAAAGCTAGACCTAAAAAATCTGCTCCACATCATGCAACTCATTCATTGATCTGGGCCTGAGCAGGTCTATTCCAAAATCTTCTTAGAAAGCTCCCAATTAGTTTATTTGGCTTCAGACCAATCTCCCGGTCCCAACCAAATCACTCTTTGAATGGGGATAAAAGATATATGATGAAATAGAGATGAAGACTTTGAGCAAACTGACTAAGATAATAATACATACTAGTAACAGATTAAAGAAGTTGTTCTCTCTTGTCTTTATACTATGATTCTCTTTTCCTTCTATCAACTTCTCTTCTCTCAGAAAATTGGAATTACAATATTACAAACACTTATTACGGTGTCCAGCTCTATGCCTATTAGATGATCAATTCATTTAAGTTCAACAACGGTAACACTAAAAGTCCTCCAAGTCAAAATCTTGTAATTTCAAAGTAAGGCCATATTAGTTGGCAGCAAAGAATATAGGTTGTCCCTCCCCTTTCTCATGCAATAACCCGTGACGGAAAACTGTGATAATGTGCCAGTGGCTACAGCTAACCAAGTTCAGTGGCCGCATTTGTGAAAGATAGTGGACTATTCAAGTAAAAATTGAAAAGTGAAGCTATGGAAATGACTAAAGCCAAGAACAAGAACTCCACAGATCATCTAGAAACATTGATTGGCACAAAAGCATCACCGATCCCTGGGTTTCAAGATAACGGGACCCTTCTAGGGCATAATCCCTTGGAGGGTTGAAATCAAGAATGCAACCTCCTAACTACCATTTATATAATCAACATTGAGCATCATGCACAAATGAACTGAGGTAAATTGACAAGGTCCAATAAAGATTTTACGTGCGGAAGACCCCAATTGCTCCAACATAAACATAGCGACCATTTGAATCTTCCCTAATTCACATCTCGTGTAGAGTACCTTCAGATTGCTAATAAATTTGTATAGCCCCGTTCCTATTGACATAGGCAAAGAACTATGTTATGCCAGAACTGAAATCATCTTGAAGATGAATATCACATTCACCCCCTTCCCCAAACCCCAAACCTACCCCCCAAGAAAAACGGCCAGGTCATCAACCCTCATTTGCGCCCATAAAATTGACAAAGCACTGCAATATGATCCAAATTCATCAACAGAACTCCTCTCCTTTTAAGCAAGTGAACCTATCTTTCTTTTTTATTACTAAAAAAGAAGAGCTAAAGAAATGAAAGAGGTAAGAGGAAAAATTATATTTACAAAATCAAGTCCAACAATGAAATGCTACCTACATGGTAAATATCATGCAGCCAAATAACACTCTGAGATAGTAGTATAGTACTACAAAAGTGGAGAATTTTTTAATCATAATACCTAATTACTTGGAATCTCATGTGTTTAGATGACATTTGCAGGGCCTCATCCCTTCACAGCATCTCAAAAATCTGCTAAGAAGCATGGTCAAAAGTTGACATGCAAACGTTACTGAGAAAATCTAGAACTTCAAAAGAATGGAAATAAGAGATATTCGTGCACATATGCTCTGGAAAATGGCAATACAACAACACACGGGTCCAAATAACCCATGATCTCATTCCTGGGATTAAACTGATGTTTCCATGAGATAATAAACAAGAGGAACCAAATTAAAAACTTACATTGATGGGCATTTCTGCTATGAGAAGGCCACTATTTTCTTCAATGCTTTTGAGAGTAACAACTTCGCCTCCAACAACCATGTTGATCACAATTCCATCTGCACATAATCCAGAAACTAATGTGATATGTTCAAGAAAAACAAAGTTAACATGGCACAGTTATAAATTATGTAGAAACACTTGATGAGTGGGGGAAATAAAGGAGTTTGAAGGAAGGGATTGTTGGATCACATCCTTCATACTGACTCCACGGTGGAAGATGTGTTATAAAGGAAATGCTGTGAGTATTAGTTATGTTTCGTCTTGTTTTTCTTTACTTCCATCCTCTTATTCCTTCTCTCAAGTCTCATCTATTCTCTTGTCAAATTCACTTCTATAGTATGGAATGAGAACCTGCTGCCAAACAAGTAGCCATGCGCCTCATATATGTTTCCTACATAAGAGCATAACAACACAGTAAGTACATCTGCAAGTTCTAAAGTAAAGGACCCAAATTCAAACAATTAAATGCAATTGTCAAATGAAGTAGACTATTTCTTTCACTATACATGCTTTTTATAGGGCAACTCCCTCCAACAATTTCAAGGATCAAATGTGCTCCCCGAAGAACAGAAATAAGGACTAATAAGATTAAAGAATTAAGAACAAGAAGACTCTCATCAGCCCATGATTTTAAAAAAAAAAAAAAACTATTGTACGCAGCCCATGATACATTCTTTTTTAATAGATGTGGTGTTCGGGCCAACTTGTATGCACCTCAACTAATTCCACGGGATACCTGCTACCTCCCACCGGCAACATGTACCAAGTAATTCTATCCACCAAGGCTTGGACAGATGAGAAAAAATCACCTAGTATTTTTTTGTCACGTTGGGAATTGAACCTAAAACCTCAAGGTTCTAACCAACTTCATTGACCGCTAGGTCACACCCTTGGGTGCGCCCATGATACATATTATACTCATGAAGAAAAAATATAACTGCAAACCCAATAACAACTACTACTACTATGCCTCAATCTTAAACAAGTTGGGAACTGCAAACTCAAATACCTCAAAAAATTTAATGCACATTTAAGAGTATATTGAGTTTATTGTTTCACACGTATATTAATTATCAGCTATAGTGAGTGGAGCCACATATACACACTGTGTATGTGCAGAAATCGAATATCTCTTGACTAGATCATCAATACAGTAAATGGCAGCAGCATTTGGGCTACTAGCCCCAGCTTATCAGTCAAGTTCTTCATTAAGCTGACTAGGCCCAATTTATTATTTATCAACAGCTTACACGTACTGTGCAGCTTATTGGTTGTTTGTGAATAGCTTCTGGATTTATTCTTTTCAGCTAAAGTCAATGAGCATACATATTTAATGCATTCCCAGCTTTGAGAACTCTCCATATGTTCATATTCTTCATTCACGAATATAGAAACTACATTGGAATTTTCTCTCTATCTTGTGTTGCAAATCTTTCAAATTGGTGATGACTTCAGCCGACATGGTATTTGATACGACCCAAGATAGCCAATATGCGCTTTGGATGTCAATTGGCTACTTTCGCAATTGGAGGCTATGTGTGTAATTTGCCATCAGTTGAAGACTACATGTAATTGGAGACTATACTTGTAATAAGTGACTACACTTAGTTCCCTAGAATTAGCTTAGGGGTATTTGGGTCATGTGTAGTCAAGTACCCAATCTAGTATAAATAGCCCTTAAGGCTTTCATTTTAGGGGGACTAATTTTGAAGAATGATGAAGACTCTTTTGAGAGGTGTAATGGTGGTTTGTCATTGTTGATGACAACTTATTCAAGGTGTGTTCTTCAAGTGTAATCACACTTCCACTTGAAGGTATTCCTATAGTTCAGGTTCACTTTGTTATGTAATTGTTGGGTGATTAATCTTTATCAATTGTTTTTCAATTACTACTTTGTTGGGTCTATTCTCAAATTCTATCCTTTATCTTTAATTTCTTGTCTTCCGCTTTTAGATTCGTATCAGTATTAGAGCAGATTTAGGGTCTGACAAGCAAGATCATGATAATTTCTCGTAGATTGATGTTAGGGTTTTCCAATCAAGCAAGCCTTACTTGCATGTCTGGATCTCTGGAGCAATTAATGGGTTACCTTTCATGTTTAAGGTTTTAAGCCTTAAACTCTCACTAATTGCTCTCATTCACCTTTGGTTCTTGCAGTTCCTCATTGTGTACTTCTCTGCCTAATCAGCAGGTAAATCTTTAAAAGTCCTCTGATCCTGATTTATATATACACACCAAATTATCCTGGAACATGGTAGTAGGTCGTCTCTTGATGTAAACAAGTTTGGTGGTGTGAAGAGTCCCACATCGGTGGTGAAGGGGATGGGTGGTCTTCTTAAATGAACTTGGGCAATCCTCATCTCATAAGCTAACTTTTGGGAGTGAGTTAGGCCCAATTCCATTTGCAAGACTCATCCTCAACTCAATATTGGACCCCTGTATTATATGGTCCACGCTCCAGATATACAGTCTTGAGCGTGGGAAAGGGGGGGTTGAAGAGTCACACATAAGTGGTGAAGGGTTTGAGTGGTCTCCTTATATAGACTTAGGCAATCCTCACATCATGCGCGCTAGCTTTTGGGGTTGAGTTAGGTCCAATGTCTATTTCTTTCACATGGTATCAGAGCTACGCCCATCCCAATTTATTATTACCCGATGTTGGACCTCATCTTATATTGTCTATGCTCCCGATATCCAGTCCCGGGCGTGGGGGGTGTAAAGAGTCCCACATCGATGGTGAAGGGGATGGGTGTTCTCCTTATATGCACCTGGGTAATCCTCACCTCATGAGCTAGCTTTTGAGGTTAAGTTAGGCTCAAGGTTCATTTCTTTCACAGGTGGAAGGGTGATAAGCCACGTATCTTCTAGAAGAAGCAAAGAAATTTAGGAGAAGAAAATTTGTGGAGCTTTCAATTATTAGAAGTTATCTGTTTAGCAGTTTTATTATTGTTATTAGAAGTTATTTATCCTTATCCTAATAGGTTATGTAGTAGTTATGACCAGCCTATTATATAAGTAATAGATGATGTAATGTGTAGGTATCATTTTCAGAACTAAACTATTTTATTCATGAGCATTGTCCTCTCCATACGGACAACTTTATTGGTGTAGTTGTGTTTAAGATTCTTGCACAAACTATTGCCAATAATATTAACTTCTTTGTTCTATTTCTTCAATTATCTACTTCTGGTTACTATCAATTTGGTATCAGAGCAGTAAGATCTGCCATTCCGACTCTTCCTGCAGTGAACCCACCATTCCGACTCTTGACCCGATTTCCCAACAATTGACGACTATAGTAGCGAAATTGGACGCCATAGATGCTTTAGCCGCTGATGTGGCTGCATTAAAAGCACAGCATAGTGGAGATCATAACAATAAAGGGAAAGCTAAAGCCATACCAGAAGAGGGTGAGGTTAACAGCACTTGGCATCGAGAAACTTTCCGGCGCTCACAGACAGAGATGGAATTTCCAAAGTATGAGGGAGGCGATCCTAGAGGCTGGATTTTAAAAGCAGAGAAGTATTTCCAGTACTATCAAACTTATGAGGAATACAAGGTTGATGTGGCTTCGATGTACTTGGAACTTGGAAGGAGATGTATTGGATCTTTTCGCTTGGATCAACAGTGAGCGAACCATTTACTATCGGGACAAATTGGTGAAAGTACTGCAAGAAAATTACGGACCTGCTGAGTTTCAAAATCCTGATGAACATCTCTGTGATATCCAACAAACTGGAATAGTGTTTGAGTATAGGCAAGAATTTGCAAAACGAGCAGCGCGTGTGCAAAATTGGCCAGAACACTGTTTGCTTGGAGTTTTCCATAGTGGGCTGAAAGAAGACCTTCGCATGGACATTAGGATTCACAAACCTCGATCTGTGTACAAGGCAATGAGCCTGGCTTCAGAATATGAAGGAAAACAGTGACCTAATCGGTCTAGTAAGGCAGCCACTTTGCCTTCTGTATTACGACCTCCTTCAGTTGGGACATCATCTCCAACGGCTAGAGAATCCTTCGATTTTCTGTCATCCCGCCAACCAGTTACACGTCCTTTTCAACCACCATCACTTCCAAACACTCGCCAGTTGACTCCTGAACAACAAATTCGGCGAGACAAAGGCCTTTACTATCATTGGGGAGAAAAGTTTAGCCCTGGTCATCGCTGCAAACCTGGGACTTTTACTCATCTGGAGTTGATGCAAGAAGAGAACGACACACAAATTGTGAAAGATAACAACAAAAATGACATGTTTCCTACTGATGTGGGCACAATTTCTCAAACTTCGCCTTGAGGACAAGTCGTCTTTCCAGGAGGGGTGTACTAATAAGCCACGTATCTTCCAGAGGAAACAAAGAAATTTAGGAGAAGATAATTCCTGGAGCTTTCAGTTATTAGAAGTTATTTGTTTAACAGTTTTATTATGGTTATTAGAAGTTATTTATCCTTATCCTAATAGGTTATGCAGTAGTTATGACCAGCCTATTATATAAGTAATAGATAGTGTAATGTGTAGGTATCATTATCAGAACTAAACTATTTTATTCTGGAGCATTGTCTTCTCCATACGGACAACTTTATTGGTGTAGTTGTGTTTAAAATTCTTGCACAAACTATTGCCAATAATATTAACTTCTTTGTTCTATTTCTTCAATTATCTACTTCTGGTTACTATCAAAAGGGGAAAGTCATTCTTATTGCACTGCTTGCTAAGATTAAGTTGGTTATGCAAACGTCAATTATCCCAACCACGTGGTGACTCACTTCTCCTCACGTAGTTGGAGAGGTGACCGAAACCACGTGGCGATTCACTTCTACTCAGGTCGTCAGAGAGGTGTAATGACATGATATCTTTCATCTAAGCAAAATATCATTAAAAAGCAATTCAAATTGCTGCTCATNCCCCAAAAAAAAGGGGGAGTTCTAAAATTTCAGTTTCTTTTCAATGTTTAAATCGTTTAGACCATTTTGAATCCATCTCATCTTAGTCCATTGGACTTCTAATCACCAAGTCGTATTAACAATAAAGCAAACATGAGTAGGCAAAAACAATTTGGAGAAGTACATATTTTCTCGGTGTACCTTCTTAATATGTTTTTTTGGCTTCTAATTGAATCATGCAATTCATGAATTGTATGTCTATCCGTCTTAAAATAAAATCCAGAACTTGGATGAAAAAATAAGGAGTTATATAGCACCTCACTCTTACACACATTTAAGCGTCAACCTATGAAATACGAATCCTGTTGAATCATCCTTGAGTGCATTTACACAACCAATCTATCAATTACACCGAAATCCTAAACTAGTTGGGATCAACTATAAGACACCGAAATCCTAAACTAGTTGGGATCAACTATAAGAATCCTCTACATCCATTCAGCTCCATTCGGTTTATTCCAATATTAAATAATGTACTTTAACGCAAACTAGAGATTATCTGAAACTAAAGATTCTACAAAATTCACCTAGTTTTCTACACTGCACATAAACCTCCAACAAAACTGAAAACAGTCTGGAAAACACGTGACCAAATGTAAGTGTAGAAACAACAACAATGCCTTAATTCAAACTAATTGGTATTGCCTATATGGATCATTTGCTTCTGTTGTTATGCTCTTGGTTAAGTCCGCATGGATTAGAGATAATAAGTCTTTTAAAAGAACTTCTCTCCATATGATTTTATATCTACCTCGTTCAATTTTAGCATTTTCAATCATCATATATTGCATCTATGGACCAATATATTTGGATACATTCTGTCCGAAATCATTCTTAACCTTATCTAATCTTGTAAAAATAAAATTTCATCTTAATACTCACATCTATACAACACTTGTGATATCTTGGGGCTTAGAGGCCCATATTCATTCCCAGACAATATTGGAAACATTGCTCCACACCCATCATATGGAACTTATCTTCCACTTTGATAGGTATTTTTCTATCGCATATCACTCCCATAGCTCTCTTGCATTTCAGCCATCCTATTTCAATTTTATGTGTTACATTTCCATTTATGGTGTCATTCTCTTAGAAGTTTGTACCAAGATATTTGAATTATCTCCATTTCAGCACCATAATTTTACTTGATCTCACTTCAACTTCATTCTTCTTAAAGAGGCTAAACTTACCATGAATAAATTTTGTCCTACTTCTATTTATCCTAATATCCTCAATCTCTAAAGTACTTCTCCATACTTCCAACATTCGAGTGCATTTTCATGGAGTCTGAACTTTAAATTTTAACTTTGACATCCTTGCGAGCTGATCTAAGAGCTCAATGCCTCCAATATGATAGTTACTCTAACAGTTATATTAAGTTAGTATTGTTATCTTTAAACCCTGATGGTACATACCGACTCTCAATTAACAGGAATTTAACATCTTTTCTTTATGTTCATATTCTGGCATCGTTTTCAATTTCACTTTCCAACAGAGAAAATTAGGCTGCATGTTATGGGACAATGCCTTATGAAAGAAACCGAAAGGAAGGAAATAATGGAACTTCAATAGCTGAGAGAAATAGTCAGGTAGGTGGTACAGAGTGGACGTAGGTCAAAGGTCAACTTTAGAAATTTATGGTTCACTCGTTCCTACTTCTTAAAAGTTAACTCTCTCTTATTCTAAATTCCAAACCGAGAACAATGCTTTCGTTTCACAACGAGCCCACTCGAGTGCTGTGATCAACAATTAAAAGTCAAACCCAATTAACAAATCTTCAAGTCCCACGAGTAAGAGCTATTAAAATGTTGGAAAGAATGATTAAGGTAATATAAAGCCTGCAAGAAGAGTACCTTCTTTGTTGGTAGCTCGTAATTAATCAAGACACGAGCATTGACAGGTGATTCGCCAGAGTTAACAAGGGGAAGGCAAGCATCGGTGACAACTATCAAATTAGATTTCTCCTCTTCTTTCTCCGTTTCCCCTGCATCTCCATGTTCAGTTGTAGCCTGCTTGTTCCACCTCATTGTAGCCTGTCTAAACCTAGCTAAAACCCTTGCACGTTCCGCTTCAGCAAGATCACTGTACTGCAATTTTCACAATTTACATTCAATCAATCAAATAACCCTCAATCCCAAACAAGTTGGGAAACTCTATATCAATTCCCCTCTGTTAAGACTAATTTCATTGAAAAGGCATGTTTATCATAGAATTAATCAATCAGTAACCATTTTAACGAATTAATTTTAAAAGCAAATGGAAAAGTTTGCATTGAAGAGGAAAAAGGTGTGCTGAGAGATATAACCAGAGCGGCAATAGTAGTATGTGAAAGAGTGGAAAGGGCGGAGCAGACAGCGTCGAGCTCGTCACGAGTGCTGCAGCTAACTACAATAGGTAAACACCGAAGCCGGCCAGCCATCCCCAACAGATCCACCAAAGTCTCCTATTTTATTTCATTTCATCTCAATAAGATTGAAAAGTTAATGGTTCACGAAATTGGAGCGTAAGAAAATTACCATTTTGAACTGAAATCTGTCGACGGCTAGGTAAAAATGACGTTGCTGGCTGAAATTGAAGTTTGACGGAGAAGTTGATAATGGAGCTTCATTGGGATCCATCAATGGCTGTTTGCGGGCTTTTGCTTTGCCTGAATATAATTGAAGAAAAAGCTCACTGTTTCCTCCGCGGATTCACCCTTCAATTTCCCGAATACACCTTACCAGTAACCTCCCACTCCACAATTGAGCTTGTACGCATTTTCCATCTTCCAAAAAAATTACGAATATTCTCCTTGGACACCCTCCATATAACTGGCTGTCTGGAGCTCCTACTCGGTTATAGTGCTTCCTCTCTCTACCACAACCTTTGATTTTTTTTTTTGGAAACGCACTAAAACCCGCAAATATAAAGACAAGTCATGTGCTACGGAATCATAAACATTGAGGGGGACTAATCACTATGAATAACCCCAATTGTGTTTTCAATGAATAGATGTTATTAATAAGATATTTTAAAAAAAAATTTATCCTTTGTCCGGTGACGGTATTGGAGCTGGACTCAAGGGTCCAATTCGGGGAAAGCACTCCATGTTCAATAAACTCAACAACTATGCTTAAGGAAAGAGCCGTGGCATCCGCTATACCATATTCTTTTATAGTTATTAATAAGATATTAAACAATTTATGACAAATCAATAACAAAAACTCCCTTCAAAAGGAAAAAAACTAATATTGATAATTAAAGAGACAAGTGGTCTATTGACAAATACAAGCGTGTGAAGGTCGTATTTATCGTACAATTTTTTTATAAGGTTCTTAATGCATCTTCACTTCCAACCAAGAAGTTGTGAGTTCGAGTCACCCCAAGAGCAAGGTGGGAAGTTCTTGGAGGGAAGAATGTCGAGGGTCATTTGGAAACAGTCTCTCTACCCCATGGTAGGGGTAAGATCTGCGTACACACTACCCTCCCCAGACTCCACTAGTGAGATTATACTTGGTTGTTGTTGTTCTTAATGCTATCTCTTGTGAGTTTCTATTAATTCTTTGTGAGGTCTAGTAAAAGATTACAATAGTTATCTCAAAACTACTTGTTACATAATGAAATGTAATTTTTATATTTGTGTTTTTGACTACTTTTCAACTCATAGGAAAGAGAAAATTTTAAAAAAATTGAAGAACATAGGGTTTATTAGTAATTTCAATGGCAATCTAATTACTTTAATTACGACACACACGTTATTTAAATGAATGATTTAAATTTAAAATGTGTTTAATTAAAATAATATATACCATAATTAAATGTAACATTAGATGTGCTTAGAGGCGGACCTATATGGAGATGAGAGGGGTTACTAGAACCCGCTAGTCTCTGTAACGATCCGATCGGTCGTTTTGAGAGTTAGAGTCTCGAACCCCTATTAACTCATTTTTTCATATCTATTTCTGCTATTGTGACTTGCCGGGATGATTAGTTTTGAGTTTTAAAGTGTTTTGGGACACTTAGTCCCTAAATGAGAGCTTAAGTCTTAGAATTTGGACCGTAGCCGGAACTGTGTGAAAACAATTTCGGAATGGAATTACGTCGGTCCCGTTAGGTGATTTTGAAGTTAGGGGCGTGTCCGGATTGTATTTTGGAGGTCCGTAGCTTATTTAGGCTTGAATTGGCGAAAATCGAATTTTTAGAGTTTTGGACAGGTAGTGAAAATTTTGATATCGGGGTCGGATTTCGATTCTGCAAGTTATAGTAGGTCTGTAATGTTGAATATGACTTGTGTGAAAAATTTGGGGACATTCGGACGTGGTTTGATAGGTTTCGGTATCGGTTGTAGGAATTTGAAGTTTTTAAGTTCTTTAAATTTGAATTGGAGGGTGATTCATGATTTTTGGTGTTGTTCGATGTGGTTTGAAGGCTCGACTAAGTTCGTATGGTGTTATAGGATTGGTTGGTAGGTTTGGTTGAGGTCCCGAGGGCCTCGGGTGTGTTTCGGATGCTTAACGGAATGAAATTGGACTTAGGAAAATCTGGTGCTTTTGTTGGTTCTGCTGTAATCGCACCTGCGCAAGGCTGCCCGCAGGTGCAAGCAAATTGGCGCAGAAGCGGGAAAATGAAGGAGTGCCAGGGGTCGCAGGCGCGAGGTATTTTTTGCATTTGCGATGCCCGCAGATGGGTTAGGGGTCTTCGCAGGTGCGCAAGGTCCGCAGAAGCGGAAGGGAATTCCGCAGGCGCGCAGATGCGGCTCTTTCATCGCAGGTGCGAAGGCATATGGGGGCAAGTGAATTGCCCAGATGTGCACAATTTTCGCACAAGCGCACCCGCAGGTGCGAGCCTAGTTTTCGCACGTGCGGAAATACCTAGGCAGTGGTTAAAACCGAAGGGCTTCGTGATTTTTGTCATTTTTGACTTTGCAAACTCGGTTTAGGGCAATTTTTTAGAGCATTTTCAAGGCATTTCTTGAGGTAAATCCCTTGTGCTTATTTTTGATCAATAATATTTCTTTGCCATGTATTTTTCCACCTAGTTAGTGTGTATTAAGGTGGAAATTAGAAGTTGGAGGCTAGGGATTTGGAAGTTTGATTTGTGGATTTGGAGGACCATTTGTTATCGGAATTTAGTAATTTTTGTATGGTTAGACTCGTGGTGGAATGGGCGTTCCTATTTTATAACTTTTACCCGATTCCGAAACATGGTCCCCACGGGTAATTTTTGAGTTAATTTCGGGATTTTTGTTAAAGTGTTGATTTCATTAATTAGATGAGTCTATTATTGTAATATTTATGATATGTAATTGCTTTTGGCTATATTTGGGCCATTCGGAGCCTGATATACGTGGAAAAGGCATTGTGACCGATTGATTGAGCTTGGTTCGAGGTAAGTGGCTTGCCTAACTTTGTGTGGGAGAAATCCCCTTAAGATTTGGAACTATTGTGATATGTAAGCGCCGTGTACGTGAGGTGACGAGTACATACACGGACTAGTTGTGGTAAAACCCGATTTTCTTACTGAGCAGCAACATATTTTTCTGTTATTTTGAGTTATACCATTTTAATGAGTACTAATCTATTTTTATTTTTAATTGAGTTATTCCAATATGTATAGCTATCGTGTTTAGTCTAATACAACATGTCTACGTGTCTTAATTATTATGTGAATTATGTGCAACATGCTTAGTGAATTTCCTGCTTCTTCCCTGACTGGTACTTAGTCTAAATTGTAAGAACTTCGTGATGTAGGTGTATTTCTAGAATTCGCGCTGTATATTTACTTTGGGACTACGGAACTGTATTCCGGGAGATCCCCATGTACTGCATATTTACTTTGGGACTATAGAACGGTATTCTGGAAGATCCCCCTTGTACTGCATATTTACTTTGGGACTACGAAACGGTATTCCGGGAGATCCCCGTGTCTTGCATATTTACTTTGGGACTACGGAATGGTATTCCAGGAGACCCCCCTGCACATTTACTTTGGGACTACAGAACGGTATTCCGGGAGATCCCCCTGCACATTTACGTTTGAGACTACGAGACGGTATCTCGGGAGATCCTTTGTTGTGTTTCTGTGTACTAAGCCGTTACCTTCTATGATTTCATTGTTGTTAAATTTCAGCCTTTATTTTATTGCGGTATTATACTCTATATTATTTTATTATATATTTACCAGTAGGGCCTTGACCTGACCTCGTCACTACTCGACCGGGGTTAGGCTTGGCACTTAATGGGTACCGATTGTGGTGTACTCATGCTACTCTCTGCACATGGTTTTTGTGTGCACATTCAGGTGCACCTTATCAGCCACATTATCAGTGAGCCGGGACAACTTTGGAGACTTCAAGGTATATCTGTCGCGTCCTTAGACCTCGGAGTCCCCTTCTACTCTTTCTCATGTCCATTATCTTCTATATTTTTCCTTGCTAGATTCCGATGCATAGAGATACTAGATTTTTTCTTCTGTAGTTTGTGATTCACGATATTCCGGGTTTTGGGATTTGTTGTGTATTTTTGAATTTGATTAAATTTATATTTTTATTTCATTATTCCGCAAAAATATTAGGCTTATCTAGTTATAGAGGCTAGGTGCCGTCACGACGTCACACATAGGGGAAATTGGGTCGTGACAAGTTGGTATCAGAGTTCTAGGTCTGTAGGTGTAGTGAGTCACAAACCGATTTATTAAAATCTCACGGATCGGTACGGAGACGTCTGTATTTATCTTCGGGAGGCTATGGAACTGTTAGGAAAAATTTCACTACTTTGATTCCTTGTCATGCGAAAATTATTGACTTCAGAGATTCTAAATTTCTGTATTCTATTCTCTCACAGATGGTGAGGACACATACAAGTGAATCTGATGAACAGGCACCCGCGCCCCCTGCTAGAACCGCGAGAGGTCGGGGCTGGGGTAGAGGCCAAGGACGTCCACGTGGTGCAGCGAGAGCACTTGCACGAGCTGCTACAGAGGAGCCCCCAGTAGCTCAAGCAGGAGGGCAGACACCTGAGATACCTGTTGTTGCACCAGCCCTCCAGGAGACTTTAGCCCAGTTTCTGAGCATGTTTAGCACCTTAGCTCAGGCTAGATTGATTCCACCTGCTCTAGCCATATCTCAAGCCGGGGGAGGAGCACAAACTCCCGTTGCCAGTACTCCAGAGCAGCGGGTTCAGGTCGACCAGGTTCCAGAGATTGTACCAAAGCAGCCGATAGCTCCAGCTCAGCCTGAGGTTAGGGCAGCAGCTTCTAAGGCGGAGCAGCTCAGACTTGAGAGGTACAAGAAGTACCACCCACCTACTTTCAGCGGATTGGCTACGGATGATGCTCAGGGTTTTCTAGAGGAGTGTTATCGTATTCTCCGTACTATGGGCGTAGCAGAGACGAGCAGGGTTTCTTTTACCACATTCCAGCTTAGAGGAGTAACCTATCGGTGGTGGCATGCTTATGAGTTGAGTTGTCCGGCTGAGGCAGCTTCACTTACATGGACTTAGTTCTCGGACATGTTTTTGAGAGAGTATGTCCCTCGGAGCCTCAGGGACTCATGGCGCGCGGAGTTTGAGCAGCTGCGCCAAGGTGCTATAACTATGTCAGAGTATGCAGTTCGCTTCAGTGATTTGGCCCGACATGCACCGGCCTTAGTTGTCACAGTTCGAGAGAGAACTCAACGGTTTATTGAGGGTCTCCATCCCATTATCCGGAGTAGTATGGACAGGGAATTGGAGATGGATATTTCTTATCAGCAGGTTGTGGGTATTGCCAGAAGATTCGAGGGCATGTTTGCCCGGGATAAAGAGGAGAGGGAGGCCAAGAGGTCTCGAGAGGCTGGTTATTATTCTGGAGCTCGTGCCCTAGCATCTCACCATGGTAGGGGTTATGTGAGTCGCTCCGTTCATTCAGCTCTTCCAGCCTCCATCGGTGTTCCAGCTCCTTCTAGACCCCAGGAGCTTTATTATGCACCGCCAGTATCTAGTGTGACTCCTGCACGGGGTGTTCCTAGAGGCCAGTCCAGCAGACCTAGCCCGAGCCAGTC